CTCCCCCGTGTCCCTGTGCCCCCCCCGTGTCCCCGTGCCCCCCCCCGTGTCCCCGTGCCCCCCCCCGTGTCCCTGTGCCCTGGGGCCAAAGGCCAGTGCCCAGCGCTGCCCACCTTTGTCCCGGGCTCGTTGTGCCGCTCGGTGCGTGGTGAGTGTTGGGGTCCCGGGTGGGGGGGACACAATCCCGGCTCCTCCTGTCCTTCCCTCTGGCCCCCCCAGCCCCTGCCTCCCCCCGGGTGTCCCAGTTAAACCCCCTCCCCAGGCGGGAGCGGGGGGATGAATCCCTCGGGACCCCTCAGCCCACGTCACAGGGGACCCCCGGGTGGGAGAGGCACCGGCAGAGCCCAGACCCCCCGTGCCACCCCAGGGACGGCTCTGGGGGTACCCCGGGTGTCCCCATCCCCGTGGCACTGCCCTGCTCCCCTGTGCCGTCCCACAAATGGGTCTGTGGGTACCCTGGGGGTCTCTGTGGAGGTGGGCACTGCCCTGGGAGGTGGGCACTGACCCAATCCCCTGCTCCACCCTGGTGCTGGGACCTGGGGGTATCCCGAGGGTCCCTGTGGAGCTGGACACTGCCCTGATCACCCTGTGCCATCCTGGCCCTGGGATCTGTGTTACTCCATCCCTGTCCCATCCCTGACACCACAGGTCCATCCCTGTCCCCTCACTAACCCCTCTGTGCCCCCGCAGGTGCCCCCATCCCTGTCCCCTCACTAACCCCTCTGTGCCCCCACAGGTGCCCCCATCCCTGTCCCACCCCTGTCCCATCCCTTACCCCACAGGTGCCCCCATTCCATTCCCATCCCTGATCCCACTGGTGCTCCATCCCTGTCCCCTCGCTAACCCCTCTGTGCCCCCGCAGGTGCCATGGCGTCGTTCCGGATCCGGCCGTTCCGGGAGCAGGACTCGGATGCGGTGCGGGCGCTGTTTGCCCGCGGGATCCTGGAGCACGCCCCGGCCGGGTTCCGGCACGTGCTGCGCTCGGCGCGGGTGCGGCTGGCGCTGCTCGTGCTGTTCGTGGGCGCGCGGGCGGGCGGCGGGTCCTGGGTGCTGGGCCTGGGCGCCGTGGGGCTGGCGCTGGTGCTGCTCTGGCTGCTCGTGCGCTCCATCAGCGCCGAGTACGTGCGCGACGCGCTGGGCACCGACCTGTGCGACATCCCCGGCACGTACCTGCGGGCGCCCGACTGCGGCTTCTGGGTGGCCGAGGTGGGGGGCTCCGTGGTGGGCATGGTGGCCGCGGTGCCCTCGCGGGACGCGCCCGGGGCGCTGGAGCTGCGGCGGATGTCGGTGAGCCGGGAGCAGCGCGGGCGCGGGCTGGCGCGGGCGCTGTGCCGGGAGGTGATGGCCTTCGCCCGCGCCCGCGGCTTCGGCGCCGTGGTGCTCAGCACCTCCATGGTGCAGGTGGCGGCCCAGCGGCTCTACGAGGGGCAGGGATTCCGCAGGGTGGGCGCCTCCAGCCCCTCCCTGCTGGGCACCATCCTGCACTTCCAGATCTTCCACTACCGCTGCGACCTGGGCGCCCGCGACGGCACCAAGGCCGAGTAGCGCCGGTGAGACGCCGCGGGCACGGGGGGCACCGCCGTGGCACAGGGGTCCTGGGACACGTGGCACTGCCGTGGCACCCCAAATCCGGCACACGAGGCGCTCCCTGGGACACAAGGCACTGCCCTGGCACGGCAGCACCGACATGGCACCACGGCCCCGGCACGTGTGGCGCTGCCATGGCACCCAAACTCCAGCCCCAGCACATGAGGCACAGCTGTGGCACCCAAGCCCAGGACATGGGGCTCCACCACAGCACCCCAAACTTGGCACATGAGGCACTTCCACGGCACCCCAACTCTGGGACATGAAGCTCCACCATGGCACCACCACGGCACCCCAAACTCATGACAGAAGGCACTGCCATGGCACCCCAACCCCAGCCCCAGCACAACAACACCAACATGTGCCCCGAGGACGTGAGGCACTGCCATGGCACCCCGACCCTGGCCCCTGTGGCACTGCCAGGGCACCCAAACCCAGCCCCAGCATGTGAAGTGCTGCCACGGCACCCCAGCTCCAGGACGTGAGGCACCACCACGGCACTCCAGGCTTGGCACACAAAGCACTGCCATAGCACCCCAACCCTGGCACGCGTGGCACTGCTGTGGCACCCGAACTGCAGCCCCAGCACGGCAGCACTGACTGTGCCGTCACTGTGACCCCGGGACATGAGGCACTGCCACGGCACCCCAGCCTGGGGCACACGGCGCTGCCGTGGCACCTGACCCCGGCACAGAGGCACCACCAGGACCCAAACCCCAGCCCTGGCACAAGAGACACTGCCACAGCACCCCAGCACTGGCACCCTTGGCACGGCTCTGGCACCCCTGACCCCAACCTTGGCACTCCAGCCCCCGTCCCTGGCACACAGGGCACTGCCCTGGCACCCTGCGCTGCCCTGACACACGTGTGGGGTGGCTGTGGGGCGTTGGTGGTGCCCAGATGCGCTGCCAGGGCCTTTCCCGGATTTCCAGCAGCGGGAAATAAAGAGAGACCTGTGGGAACAGCATGTGTGACAAGAGGCATCTTGGGGAATGGGGGACACCCCGCGGGACAAGGGACACCTTGGGGGACAGGGGACACTTTGGGGGACAAGGGGCACATTGGGGGACAATGGACACCTTGAGGGACAGGGGAAATCTTGGAGGACAGGGGACACTTTGGGGGATGTAGGACATCTTGAGGGACAGGCAGGGGTCACTGGGGGACACGGGACAGACACTGTGGGGGTCAGGGGACACCCTGGGCCCAGAGGGGTGTGGGTGCCCATGCCCTCACTCAAGATGGCAGCGGTTCCCCTTTCCCCCCTCCCAGTGCCCTCACCCAAGATGGCGGCGGTTCCCGTCTCGCTTCCTCTCCAAGCCCTCACCCAAGATGGCGGCGGTTCCCGTCTCGCTTCCTCTCC